CAACCCTAACCCTATTCACCATAGGGTGAATAACTCTGCGCTGCTCACTCGAAACGTGCTGAAATTCAGTGTGGATGTGTATGAAATTTATGATCTCCTTAGACAGAGGGGGAGCTTCCAGCTCCTCTCAGTTAATCTGTTAAAAACAAAACAGCTATGAATTGACAGATGTGTGAATATGACTCAGCGCACATGCTGGGTCAGTTCTCTTCCTGTGATGAATGATCTTTAGATACATCCTCTAAACATGGACACACAGCTTTTTGTAGTCCATGCTACAAACTTGTTTCTTATCCATGCGCAGCACTCACATGCACATGAGATATTCATGATTTCAAACTACTGTCTATAATCTATAATCACCATATATCGTATATCACGCTGTAGCTGGGAGTAAAGGGAAATAATCACGATCGATTCTCCCCCTGCAGACGCCTCTGGGATGTTCGAACTACATTTCCCACAAGCTGCAGCCTCACTTCCCTTACCCACAATCCCTAGCGCCGTCCTACCGCTCACAGCTAACAAGAAGGTCGCTCATAGCAGCTCCACACTGAGACAGAGGACAAACACACTGACACCATGCTGGGACAAGCCGTGAGAAGATTCACTACGTCCGCTGTTCGTTCTTCACACTATGCTGAAGGACCAGGGAAGGTGAGATGGTGGTTTGAAGATGGAATTATGACTTAAAATGAGATGTTTTACCCAGCGGCCTTGTCTGTATCCACAGCCTGACGTTAGCTAGCTTCACTTGGAGGTCATGCCCGTCATTTGACATGAGTGTTATTCCAATGTTAGCACCGTTAGCTGCCGTAGAGACGTGTGTAACTTATTCTGCTACATGGCAGCGACACATTAAAAGAGAGGAGAGACATATGACTGCAGCTCAGCTGATCTGTTCGACTGGGGAGGGCGACGTGTTGGTTAGCATTAGCATCGTAGCTCAGTAGTTGTTATCGTTTGGCTTCACAACGTGACTGCCACCAAGCAAGCAACTTCAGAAAACAGAAATAAAACAGATTAAGCTATATGACATGCTCACATACATTGAATGGGCTATACACGGTTTGTAAGGCACAAGTCCATTAGTTCTCACAGTAATGCGCAAGTTTACTCCTCATCTGAGTTATTTTGGACTTCCGGGTGTGATTCCAGGTCGCACTGTGATCCTCCGGACCTTTTCACATTAAAATGACATCATCTCAACCTTTTATTATCGTGTTAAAGATTTTTTCATGCTCCACATACTTCTTTAATCATCATTTAGACACTCCGGAGGTTTTCCACCAGAATTACATGTAAAATAACTGTTAATGTTGCTGTGGCTGTATCTGATGAAATAAAGAAAGAAATATAAATGGACAGTAATGAACAAAAAATACAGTTAATCTTCTCAATCCGGGATTATTTAGTAGGGTCTAGTGTTAATATTATGACAGGTTCCATTCTACAAGAAACCTCCTTGATACTTGTTGCATGTATTTTGAAAAATCAGTCATGATGGCTGACCATAACTATAATAATAGCAATTATTGCATTATTATTTACATGCAGCTTTTTTCTCTGGATGAAATTCCAAGCATGCACACATAAAATTCCCAACAGACAACTGTGTTCACACAAGCTAAGTAGAGTTTTAAAGTGCATCACCTTTGCTACATTTATGCCTGGTGACCACATGATTCCATAGTTTTTGACCCCTTTAAACAGAGTGTATTGGAAACACAGCTGGCCCTGGCCAGGTGACTTTTACACAGTTACCCACTTTTACTGCCTTATCTGCTTGGTTTTCTCATCAGTCAGAACTTGCGGTTCCATCTCATCATTGTTCCAAATACTGTAATACTTGCTCTCATTTTCATCATTACTGTTAACTTGTTTGTTGTATTTATTGTCTGCAACAAATTGCAAATATTTGGCCTGAGTACACCAGCACAAGCAGGATCATGCATCTGATTTGCAGCTTGTTATGGAGATCATTTTTGTTTTAAAATACTGGGTCTAAGTTAAGAAGTGGTAGAATGAATGTATCCTCAGTGTCTAATGCAAAACATCCTCGATAACACAAAATGTAGGAATCAAGAAATTAAAAGAAACAAAATAGGGAAATATAAATGTCAAATTGCTCATTTTAAAACGTATTCTATAATAGCTTGATATTAAATATAATTTTTACCTTAAGCCCCTCACTCTTTTTCAAGTGACATTGTGCTGAGTACATTGCAAAATAAACTGTTCATTGCCAGGCAGAAGTTTGTATCTAATGTCAAAGTTAAGTGCTTTTCTACTCTTTTCCTTCTATTAAAAAAAGTTGTTTATTTGTGAATGGTTCACTTAAATGGACTCCCATTACATCTCTTGGAGCTTCAATACATCATACCACTTTTCTTTTTACAGAACCTGCCGTTTTCTGTGGACAATAAGTGGCGTCTGCTTGGCATGATGGTGCTGTTCTTTGGCAGCGGCTTTGCATTCCCCTTCATTGTTGTCAGACATCAGATCCTGAAGAAGTAAAATGGCCCAGTCCTGTGATTCTGCCTTCAAGGTAATTATGACTTCCATGTTGATCTAGCATATCTACTTTCAATAAAATGACAGAGTGATGTGGCATTTACTTCAGCCTTGATTTGAATACATCAAACAATGACAGTCCTGCTCTCCGCCTCTTCGGATTTCTTCCAGTGGCATATCTTTAAATAAATTACCTGCATGTCCCGTGGTGATGCTATCAAATGTCATCTGGGTTCATATTCTGTGTTTAGATAAGCATGTGCTTTCGCAGGTTGATATGACAGTTTAGTGCAGATATTGATCTGTATCAGGCGGGAGCAGGTCAGAGTCGTTGTCACATTTATCTTCACCGGTGTTTACTCAGAAATTGCTTTTGTGTCATCAGACTTGTGCAAGTAATTTTATCACTTTTTGTCCTATTTTCTTGTTCTCGCTGCAGGTCGTCACCTGGAACATATTTATCCATCGAGAGTTCTGTCCCTGCAGAAGAATGGGAATCTCTTATTTTTCTTTGTAAATAAAGTTTCCTCAAATATGGACACGTCTATTTAATTCCTTGCACTAAACAATACCGGCATTTTGAGGTAAAGATGAAGCAAAAGAGCATCTTTTAATATAGCCAGACGTTCAGTATTTAACTATGGGCTGAATATGGGGCACCGTATTCAATGTGACTTAATATTCATAAATTGCGATGCCCCAGATTTCTAAACACTTTCACTTAATCAAAAAAACGAACTGTGCCCTTATTCAATTAGGTAGTAGCTCCCCAAAGATTCACAAAATGTGTTGATAAATGGCTGGCCTGTTTTTCTAATGTATTATATAGTAAATCAGTAGGTTAAGTTGGAATTTAAAATGGATACATTCAAACCATTTGTTTTTCAGCAACAGAAGCAAATGAATGGAATGGAAATTGAAAGTCAGTGTGACAGGGCTTCTATTGAAGAATCCAGTCCTTGCTTCTTTAACTCTTCTGATGGTTATTGTTCCCCCACTCCAGCTCAGCTCTTCTGCTGAACTCTCCTGAATAACCTTTTTTCAGTTCAATTAACCCGGTGCTTCTGGGTATAATTATCCAAGGACAAAGTATTAAAAAAGGGAGCTGTGGCTGCACAGTTGTTGAGGAAGGGTAATATAAAAGTTAAGAGCTTCACTTCTATTCTGGTCTGCCTTATGCCTGGAGTCATTTTTAGAAGTCTGATAAGGATAGTTTCCATTATCTCTTTTTGTATAGCAGGAAAAAAGGTGTCTGGTTTGGCCAAAGACTTACAGAGAAGCATATGGGGACAAGTTGCAGAGGTATGGGAAATTTCTTGGTGTATTCCCTTCTTGTAACCCCTTACTGTTATTTCAACACACACAACTCTTGGCAACTTGTAAACCTGTCTGGTGCTTCTTTGTTCCCTTGCATTTGTAATGATGTTACACTGTCTGCGCCTCTGGGCTCCCTGGATGGAGGAGCATTCGGGTCTGGCAGCTCTTGCTAGGTGGTGGTAAGTTATGAGACGTTTTAATGGGGTCAACAAGTGGGAGCCGATATTTCATAGTTGTGTTGAAACTGACTGCACTTAGAATAAGTCGACCTTTGTTGGTTGCTCAAGGGTAGAGAGAGGCAACACCAAGTTATCACAGCTTTCTTGACTTCAGCGTTCTGCACACAAGCACATATGTCACTGACTAATATAGAAGTCCCTTCAGCACCTATAGACCGTGTTAACATACACCTTGAGGTGAAAATGCAACTCAAGACACAAGGTCAGGTGTAGCATCATGTGTTAGGTTGGAGAATGAGAAATCTTCTATCATTCTGTGATGCACATCACTGTCATCCTGCTTATTCTGATATCTGAGTAGGTTTTCTGTTTATCAAGGGAAAATCCTCAGTCCCACGCTGCCCCCGAACAATTGTTCTTTCTCTGAATGGTCCTTATCAGTACATAATAAACCATTGCAATGAAGTGTGCAGGCCTGCGTTAGTTGATGTCTTCCGGCTCCTGACATGAGCCATACCTCACGATGACTCCTCTGGGCACGTCTCAAACATCACTTTTTCCCCATTCGCAGTGAAAGAACGTCCTCTTGAATGTCGCTACAGACAAATAGGCCTCGTTGAAGTGGATTCTCCAAGTCCATCTTGCCCCTGGCTTTAATTTTTTTTTGTCCTTAAGAAGCACATAACTTTGTCCTATAGGTTACTTTGGTTCCACATTGTTGCAAAAGTAGTAAAAATTTGAAAGCTCCACTTTTGGGCTCTGAACTCCTCTAACAATGTGGTGCAGATCGAGCAGAACGACCTGAAGCTCCTTTACGTTTTCACAAATAGTTCACTTTGCTTCTACAGTACGCTGCAGCACTCAGGGTGCTAATTTAGGAATGTCCAGGGTTTTTTTTGCAGAAAAGAATAGGATTCTAAAAAGACATTTTCTGTCCCTGAGTCCACAGATTTAGAAATGCATTGACACTTTGAGAGATGACATTATCTGGGAATCCAAGTGTAAGGAACATGCACTAAGAAGTGGGTACTTTATGTTGCCATAAATGTTTGATCTAGTCTTTGCCATAATGTACTCTAAATGGGGCTTTTAAGGGTCCTGGTTGATGCTAAGCTCCAGCAGTGAGGACCAATTAGATGGAAGCGGTGTTATCTGGACAAGGACCAAGCTGCAGTGCAGTACTTTAAGAAAGTACACAAGGTCTAGAGTGTGCTGGAAGAGGGTGTCTTGCAGGAGGGTGCCCACAGTGGGGCTACATCACATATTTTAAGACGGGTTCACCAAATAGCATCATCCGCTGTGTGTGACTCTGAGCGGTTGCAGGAGCGAAGCAGAGGGGGAGACAGAAGAGGAATACATTACAGGAGGATTACGCACCCGGCATGTCAAGTCTACTGCAGGAGTTCGTCATGCTGGAGGTGGAGGGTGTGGGAGAGTGAGAGAGAGGGGGAGTGCTATGGCGTGTGTCAGTGGTTTTTCCTCAGCTTATACCTTCATTTACCAATATCTGGTAAATTCATCATTCTTATTGTCTTCCTTTACATACCCTGGTGTGCATGGCCCTAATTAACACAAAGTGAAGTCATTAAAGATCAATTCTATAGCAGCTTATCACCGTTCAGTGATTGTATAATTCCATGCAGATATAGAATGACTAGATTACCCACAATTACTGAGTTGCACATAGCTATAAAAAAGGTAAAATCCTTTTTTTACTATAAAATAAATCACTTTTATTTGCCCCTTTTATCCGACAAAGTAAAATCGTTTTATATGATCTTTCAGATATGCAAATCACCTTATTTGCAGAATTTGTGGCCACTCAGTGCAGCCCTCTGTAGGCTGCTCAATAATAGACTTTTCTGCATCTCACGTGTGGAATCTAATTATAGACTCATTTGCACTTCAGAGGAAAAGATAGCAGGCTTAGCTTGGTGTAAAGCATGCACAGCCACCTAATAAAAAGTCTATTTCATTTAATCCCCTCAGTAAGAGCCACAATTCACATCCAGACAAAAAATATAACAGTTGAACAATTATGTCTGTAACCGTTGGTTGGTGTGAGTGGACTCGCCCAGGATTGACGGTTATATAAACATTAACTTCTTCTGAATGAGAATGGTTCCTGACAAATACAGACTAAATTGCCCCTCTGGAGGAGTTGGATGAAGTCTAAATGTGCACTTTGTGTGCAGCCACATTTCCCCGTGCCACCCAATCACTGTCTTGCGTCCAATAGCAGGGCACAACCCATCATAACAGTGTGATGACAACAAGAGGTGAAAGCAGATGTGTCCAGTCGCTGACGAACTCCCTGACTCCCTGCACTCAAACTGCATGTCATTAAAGTTTCAAGGACACGCTGCAGCTCCCGAGTTTCCTGCTAAGCCTGGTATCTCCTTCCCCCCTTCTATACCTTCTCTGTTTACCATGCGCTACCTCAAAGATGCTGACTTGTGGAGAAGTGCGGAACTGTCAATGCAGGAAGATGAAGTGTACGTGCACCTCCCACTTCGTCAGAGTAGGGCTCGACTGCCTCAGCCAGGAACTCTACACAATTAGTCCAGGAACCTCCAGGGGGTGGCTGCTTATAGGAGACGAATGCTTGCAGGATACCAAGTCGACTCATGTATGTGTGCGTTTTTGAATGTCGCAGAGGGAAGAGTGCAGCAAGAGAGACTTTTGACATTTGATGGCCTTGGCAAATTTACTGTCAAGCAGTGGTGGGATGAAACAAAGTACATTTACTACATTACTGTACATATTTCATGTATCTGTACTTTACTTAAGTAGATTTATCCTCTGATATTTTTCGCTTTTTCTCCATATCATATATCAGCAAATATCTGTACTATACTCTTCATTCTAAATACATTGCAGCAATATATTTTTAAAAGTAATCATTGATGAGAATTGATCCATTGATCCAATCAGAGCAGGCAGGTAACAGTAGACCCCGCCTCCTTCAACAAGAGCTAAATCAAACCTGCAGCAGCACTTGTGAAGAAACATGAAATGGATAAATAAGTTCAGATAAGATAAGATATACCTTTATTGATCTTTCATAAAGGACATTAAGGAGAAACCACTACTGAGAGCTATAATGATGTTGTAGAGCATTGCATATAGGATACATTTGGCAAGTACTTTTACTTTACTAATACTTTAAGTGTATTTTCAAGAAAGTACTCAAGTAAAAGAGTTAGGTACATTTTTGTCTATTTATTTTTATGGTCACTTAAGGAAAATGTTTGAGTTCTTGCTCCACCTCTAAATTCAAATATATTAAAAGCCACAGAGTCAGAATCCCATCTTATGACAGGATATGATCAGTATTTATGATTCATTAATGTTGTGATATCTCTGCTAAGAGAAAAATACATGCACCTATCTACCTGCCTTCTTTCATCCATCTGTAGCAGGTCACAAAGAGGTTGTGAAGCCAGAGTAGGGGAAAAAACCTGTCATGTGTCACTTAAGGGTTTTGCACATTCAGTTTGATATGAGACCTGGTAGGGACCCTGAACAAGATCTAAAAACTGGCATAATCTCTACATCCCCCTCCTGCCCACACCAGAGCCCGGAGCATGTCTTCAGTTCAATAATGTAACATGACTCACTGTTCAAAGTTTTTCATTTTAAAATAATCATACCCACTCCAGTCCGTGCCTCCCCCACTTCCAGCCTTAAGTTAATGCACCTTGAGAGATTGGATGTGGATGCATGTGCATTTTTCCTCTCTCACTTCACACAATATGCAGCGCATTTTAAAACTTAGCTCTGTGCCCACTCAATGAAGAGCATATATTTTCATCTTCCATTTTACCAGCTGTCTTTTTATAAATTACTTCTTGGCATGAAAACATAACCATCTAAATTAAGATGTTTAGAGAAGTTTAAAGTCTGTGAGTGTGTGTTGTTTGCTTTCCAAGCCTCCTTACAGCAAGAAGGTTCCCTTTTCGAATCCTGGTTTGGCCGGAGTTTTCTTTCCACGGGTGGTTTTCTTCAGATAATCCGGGTTCCTCTCATAGTCCAAAAACATG